CGTACAAGACATTATTCATTCTGGCCCTCTCACATACATATATTCTTCTTTCACATACATATATATTCCCTCTCACATACATATATTCTTCTTTCACATACATATATATTCCCTCTCACATACATATATTCTTCTTTCACATACATATATTTTCACTCTCACATACATATATTTTCATTCACACATTCATATATTTTTACTCTCACATACATATATTTTCACTCGCACATTCCATATATTTTCTCTCTCACATACATATATTTTCACTCACACATTCATATATTTTCACTCTCACATACATATATTTTCCTTCACACATTCATATATTTTTACTCTCACATACATATATTTTCCTTCACACATTCATATATTTTCACTCACACATTCATATATTTTTAAATATGTATGTAAGAGGAAAATATATGTGTGTGAGAAGAATATATGTGTGTGTGAGAAGAATATATGTGTGTGTGAGAGGAATATATGTGTGTGTGAGACAAAGTATACATGAAACGGAAGGACAATAGTGGAAACGGAAGGCAGGCCATTTTATCGCGCTGTGATTGGCTGAGAAGTTGGCGCGAGGTCATGTACAGGTCATGATTAACATGGAAGGGAGAGAGGAGACCCGTGCACTGCAGCAAGCCATTGGGGTATTAAGAACTATTTTATCATCATCTGAAACAGTCACATCATTGTCCTCGTCCCTTGAGCAGCGGAGGACAAGCTCATCAGGACCTAACGTTTCTCTCAGCACGGCGGAAAGTGAGATGAGAGAACTTTTCAGACCTCGAAACTCCCAAGTCGCTCCCGCAGCCAGAGCAGCTAACGTTAGCGCTACACAAGGACACACTGGAGGATTGCGGCAGTCTTTACGATATGAGACACAGCAACACTTTGGCAACTGGGGCTCCAGGAAAAGGAAAAGGTAAGAAAAACGTAGCGTTACATGGTAACTTAACTGGAAGTTACTGAATCCCGAATGCTCGTTTGCTAATTTGGCTGCAGTCAATGTCTATGTTACATGTTCGTAAAACCCGTAAATCCTCCTTAGTAAAAACAATAAAGGCAATTAAACAATCTTCAAATGACAGAAAACATCGAAGGCTGTTTTGTACTTTTGAGTAACGTTTGTATAAAATGGGTGTAAATGATTCTCTGTGTCACTCTTAGGTTAAGTTGGTAATCTCATAATAATGTGTCTAACGTTAGCGGTAGCTACATAACCTAACGACAGCTGTGGTTAAGGTATTATCATTTTCAGTTAATAGTTCAACTTCACGTTAAGTTGACTTAAGGGCAAATCAAGGTATGTGTAAGATTATAGAGCATTATAGAGCAGGTGAGGAGAGACATGGCTGACACTCTCCCAGCTCCATCATATTTTATCTTTCAGTAGATTATAATATATCTTTTAACAGCATAATCAACCAATGTTGACGATAACCAAAACTGCTAACTGCAACTTTTGGTATTTTGAGTGTTCTGGAATTTAAATTTAGTCCTGTTATGGCAGTTGAAAATTTGAGCCAGAGTCAGGCCATATGATATCGGCCATTTTAGTCAGCCATTAGTTTGTGTCAAACTGTGGAGCTGATGTTAATTCTAGCTTGCGTGGCTAAAGTGAAGAGTTGTCAGCAGTAGCAGGTTCAGTCAGTCCATATCAAAATATTGTCAGAACATGCAGTATGTTTAATGGAATGTAGACCAGAAATACAGAAATTTTTTCATTCCTAAATGACAGTAGAGGGTTACTAATTTAACTAATGTAACCCTGTAAAGATATTGACAATGCCTAATTTAAAGTAGTTTTATTGCAGTCTGCTGTTTGGGCAGCCTTCTATGTCTCGTTGTTGTTTATCCATCAGCTTGTTATTAATGAATCAAATAATAGTATGTACTAGTATTAGTGCAATGTTAAAGGATCCAAAAATAACATGTCTGCTTTGTTTTGTAGGGCCAAAACACATTATCACGATACTTTTAACAAAGATGTCATCCTTCTTCCAAAACCATTGAGCAGTGCTGTCGTCAGGCATTGCACAAAGCAACAGTTACATGAACAGGGATAGAGCACTGTCTGTCACTGAACAAATAGGGGATGCCTTTGGAGAAATTCTCTTTGTAAGGTAAGGACTACTATTAGTTTTAATTATGTCCAAACTGTGGTTATAAATGACTAACTGAAATTAGCAGTGCCATGAATTATTCTGGCATGAATTATTCTTTTATTTATTATAAATTCGGTTGTGTCCATCTCAAAAGAGGAAATGGAACATGACTGATCAGTTTCACTGTCTTGTGCAAAAAGGTTTGTTTGGGCCTATTTTTTTCTTGAAACTTTTACAATTTTACCTGCTGTTTTTCAGCTTGGAGTTTCTGATGGCATGTGGCAACAGACTGACTTCACCTAAACTGCGTGCCGGACGAAGTTGGATGCAAATCTCATACATAAAATATATAGATCAAAAGCCCTATACATCAGACCGTCAAAGCCAATTCTGGTATGTTATATAATTGAATTCAATTGCAGAATAATATTAAACCCACTGTAATAATAACCCATAAGTGGTGCATAAACATGCATGCATTAAGGTCAAATCTTGTCAGTTAGCTCTGACCTTTAGTATATTTTCATTAGTGTATCATGTCAAACCATATAAAGTCATTCTTAGAAGTATAATAAATATAGATCTGGTGTTTCCAGGTACTATTCAGTTTACAGTAGACATTTAGTAAATCTGAAATATATGCTGATATGTTTCTCATGTCTTTCCAAGGATGATATTGCAGGCTATAGCAGTGGCGACAACAATTGTGAGGAAATCACTGGTTCAGCAAGGCAGCTACGCTCCTCATCTCTACCACAAAATAGACCCTCATATGCATCTTCAGAGAACTTCACCAGTCCAATGACTGTGTCCCCACCAAACTGTGCTTCTGCAGTTCAACCTTTACCCTCTTCACTTGGGTGTGGAGGGATATTTACTCAAACTTCTTCTTTGACCTCCCAAAGCAGTATATCTCCCAACCGCAGCAGCATTTCAGCATTAATTATTCTAAATACACATTTGTTGCATCTTTGTTAAAACAATAAGGTGCTAATATCTCCCTTTCACACACATGTATCTTCACTCTCACACACATATAAATCAATGTACTCACATACATATTTTGTCACTTTCACATATGTACATACTTGACACTCATATGTGCATGTATTTTTCTCAATGAAGTATCCAGTTTTTCACTGACGGGAAGTTCTTTCTTAAACAGGAAGTCACTTTCAAACCAGGAAGTAGATGTGCAACATGATTTCAGCTTATAACCTTAAGTTAAATAGGAGAAAAATAGAATGACCCTATTCAAGGTTATCACGTTTTCTTGTCTAGTGCAGTTTTCCTTTGTGGGAGTAAGTAGCAATGAAAATGACATTAGACTTTTTTTAATAATGTCTTAGAATGTATTGAACTAATTCAAAGAGAAGATGGAGATCATTTTGTCCAAGAGAGGCTGTTTGGAGAACTTCGTGATCACCTCCAAACGTTATCTGGATTTCTGACAATCTCAAGATTTACTGAAGATTCAAGAAATCGAGAAGCAGTCAACACATTACGGTCCTTGTATGGATGTCTTCACTTTTTGCTGACTACTTATGAAACCAGACAAAGAACCAGGTCTGAGAACAGTTATGTCCTGTTGCCTCCACTTGTCATGACTGGACATCAAGGCAGACCACAATACAGTATTTCTGTAGAGCAAATCTCTCATTTAGTATCTCTTGGAATGAACTGGCAGAGCATTGCAACATCCTTAGGGGTAAGCTGTCGGACTCTCTACAGGCACAGACACCGGCTCGGCATTCAACCATTGACATATGCAACATTGTCAAATGACAACCTAAACAGAGTTGTTGTTGAAATTCTTCAGTCTACCACAAATGCAGGTGAACGATACGTGCATGGGAGCTTGAGGTCACGTGGGTTACGCATTCAAAGGTGGCGCGTTAGACAGAGTCTGCAAGAAATCGACCCCATTGGACGGTCCTTCAGAAGACGCCATGCAATACGTCGACGAATCTACAGTGTTCCAACCCCCAATCAACTTTGGTGAGTATTCCCAACAGACCAGAGTAGCACAAAGTCACCAGTCAGCAGTGATGGAATGTAATTAAGTTGCCTACATTTATTTAAGCACTGTACTTGCGTACAAATTCTTATATTCTTCAAATATTTTTTTAAGGCCACTCCACTACATCTCAGAATCAAACATTGTAATTTTACTTTACTACATTTTTTATGACAGCTTTAGTTACTATTTACTCAGACTACTCACGAAATTTTGACATTGAGAGATGTGTGGTTCTCACAGGACAGTCACACTACAAACATATGATGATCTTATACAATATGATGCATTGCTATACTACCTTACTATTACTACTACTACTAGTATAAAAGTACTTAACATTAGGGTTTTTTTTTTATATTGTGTTTGTGTTGTTCAAAGCAGTGGAGCTTGAATGTGTATGATCATTCTGCTCTACTTTGTCCACTATGTTGTAAATGTGTCAAAAACACAATTTAGTTTATTCCTAATTTTGTTTTGGGCAGCATAGCAAATACTTGGTCCTGAAATAAACTTTTATGTAACTGGAAATTGGGTTGTCTAGCAATTAATGTATGAATTAACATATCTTAACTGATGCTCTATTTATACTAATCACAAAAACTCATAGTGACTGTACCATTTTCTTGTGAGCAACAGCAATTCATGATACATCCCGCATTAATTCATGCATTAAATCATGAGTCATAGGGTAAGTATATAATTTTTTCTTCGTGTATTAGGAGCGTACTTTTACTCCATTACAGGATCTGAATACTTCTTCTACCACTGGTTTCTTAAAATCTGCTTGGAAGTGGTAGAAGAAATACTGAGACGCTTTCTTTGAATAAAAGTCAATATAAAAAATACTTGATTTAGAATAACTCCTGCACAGTTTTAAGTCTACAGCAAAATGGACTATCAAAAGCAAAAGAGCTCAATATTGGTAATTCTTTATTTTAGTGTTAGATTATTGATGAACAACCTTGGCCTTGTTATACTTTTCCCACAAATAATTTATTCTGATTTCATTTTCTCTTAGGCACATAGATGGAAACCACAAACTTGTGAGGTGGAGGATGGTGTTCCATGGCTGTGTTGATGGTTTCAGTCGAACCATTATCTACCTTGCTTGTCTGGACAATAACAGAGCTTCTAGTGTTTTGTCACTTTTCATTGCTGGTGTTCAGAACTTTGGACTACCATCTAGGGTCAGATGTGATCATGGACTGGAAAACACTGGTGTTGCCCGTTTCATGCTGTACAGGAGAGGACTTAACAGACATAGTGTTATCACTGGCAGGTCAGTGCATAACCAAAGGATTGAGAGATTATGGGCAGAGTTAAATCGAGTAGTGTCCTTTCATTTTGTTAATCTTTTCAATTTTATGGAGGAAAATGGTGTGTTAGATTCACTTAATGAGCTCCATTTATTTTGCCTTCATTATATTTATTTGCCACGAATTCAAAGGGCTGCCACTGAATTTCAGAACCAGTGGAATAACCATGGTCTTTCAACACAAGGGGGGCAAACTCCTCTTCAGCTGTGGCAAAGAGGCATAGTCAACAATGCAGGAGTGCATAACCCAAGTATGAATGGTATTTGTGAAACAGAGAGTGGCTTTGGTGTTGATGATAACATATCACACTCAGAGTTGCAGACAAACAATGTTGTTGTTGTTCCATCAATTAACATTACCATCAGTAACACAACAATAGACACACTTCAGCAGACTTTCAATCCATTTGAAGATGATGGAAATCATGGTATTGATTTGTTCTGCAACCTTGTGCATTTTCTTGAAGAAAGGCATTCCTAAAATCTTACCCATATTGAATACAAAGAAAGACTTAACTGATATGTATGATTTGACAAATAGACTAAGACAGGGGTCTCAAAATGATAGCCATTGCCATTTCCCATAAAATGATAAAGATATATTATAATTTGGCCCACAATCAATCCAAATTACAGCTTCATATACAATTAAAATAAAAACACGATTCTATGTTGTTTGATGCAAAAGAATCAGGAAAGGTCCAAAGTGCCTGCAAATGTGTGCAAACGGTTAACAATAAGAGAGCAAGTGTCTGGCCTTCATTCGTTGTTGAACTACAAAAAATGATTTCATATGATAATATAAAATAAATGTAAACTGATGTTATTTTGTGTTGGTTAGTAATGTTAATATTTTCAAAATATTGTGCTTTCCTGTTGCACTTGAATGTTGAAGTGGCCCTTCTGTGAGGGGGTCATGTGTAACGTAAAGAAAAATAAAGAACCCACTGCCAAACACAGGGATAGTATAGCATTACACTTGCATTTTCCGTTTTAAGTTCATGGTTGCATTTTTCTTCCATTTTGTGGATATTTATAGTGTAGAGAATGTTCATACCATTTTCAATGTGATTCTGTGTGCTTAAAGCACCACATTTACATTGTTGAGCTTTGTTTCCTTACTTTAAATGTTCAATGAAATTGTAACCAAACAAATGTGTGAAACCAAATTTTATTGAAGGTTTTAAAGAACTCAATAAATTGACTGAACTGTTACTTTTTTTAACATATGTCCTTTTTTTTTTTGAATAAAATGACAAAAAGTTAACATCAACATTAATGCAAGATCTCTAGTCAGTGAGAATAGGATTTAGGAGAGGCATAAGAAGCAACACAGAAGCAATAGCACGACAACAAAAACAGGAAATAGTTTCACATTGCACATAAATTGACCCACTGAAGACACACTTTGTAATGTTAAAACAGCTTGTACATATTGAATAAAAAGTTATCTGACCATTCAGAAAAATTTAAACCTCCTGTTTATCAGTTTAAGACCCTTTCCACAGTAGGATTAGTGTAGAGCAATACTATGCTCAGCCAATTCAATGGAAATCAGCTCGGTGACATTTCAGCTTGACATAAAAGCAGAGCATTTGGATGCTTTAAAAGAAAACCGTGTTTCCTCAAGAGATGTAAAATGATAATTTCATGACAATTTGGAAAAGTATATATTACTTGCTTTAAATCACAGCCTTGATGTGGTGGAAGAAAATCATTACAAATCATTCACTCTACTACACATATATAATATTTAACAATTGAACTTACCTTTGTTTCAGTACAAGTATGCTAAAGGTGACCTCCTCCACTTATATAAGAGGAGTTGTCCTCCTTATCTTGGACCAGGTGAACAACACTATGTAAATTAAAACGATTTACCAATGAACTTATCAGTGAAAACAAGCTCTTTAAATTCAGTTTGGTTTCAAGATTACTAGCAAACATCCTGGCTAAAATATAGAACAAAGTTCCAAACCAA